TTGAGGTTATTCTATGCTTATCATCTGTTTATTTTTGTGTAAAAATTTTGTATGACCTATGGACCTAACAGTACCTCCTCCCCTTTAAGAACAGGGGTTATAGTATACTTGAGGTGTCGGCCCTAATGTTTCCCAGTCCATCGGAAATTTGGAATCTGATTCAGATTATAACAAAAATAATTCCAGGATATTCATTTATAATTTCATCATTTGAAGTATTAGTCATTTAAAATCTTGGTTTATTCTGGAATTTACCATCTTTTCCATAATTATATCTGTGTCTGTACGGCTATATGCACAAGTTAGAGTAGTGCTTGATGATTGGTTATCACTTATCCAATAAAAAAAACATTGATTTATGATAATCTACAGGAAGCAAGAGCCCTTCTTGGAAAGCTGGAGTACCAAAGAGGTAACCTAGAAGGTGCACTTCGTGTGTTTGATGGCATCGATCTTCAAGCTGCCATAGAGCGATTGCAACCTTCTCTTGCTGAGAAAACACCTTCAAGGAAGGGCCGATCTCGTTCTGACTCACAACATACAGTCTCACAGCATGCTGCTAGTCTCGTTCTTGATGCAATATACTTAAAATCCAAGTCTCTTCAAAAGCTTGGGAGATTAACTGGTAGGGTACTGTTCCAGCAATTGATATGATGGTTTTCCTTTCTTTTTAACTTTTTCAAGTTTGAATTAGAGTACAAATGGAACCTTGTTTTATGTGTCTGCAGAGGCTGCTAGCGAATGCAAAAATGTGCTTGATGCTGTGGAAAAAATTTTCCATCAGGGCATACATGATGCGCAAGTGGATGGTAGATTGCAAGAGACAGTCAGCCAAGCTGTAGAGCTCCTTCCTGAGCTTTGGAAGCAAGCTGGTTACTATCATGAAGCAGTATCTGCTTACAGGCGTGCCCTACTTAGTCAATGGAACCTTGACAACGACTGCTGTGCAAGAATTCAGAAAGGATTCGCTGTGTTTTTGTTGTATAGTGGAGTAGAGGCTGGTCCACCCAGTTTAGGTGTTCAGGTTGAAGGTTCATATGTGCCTAAAAATAATCTGGAGGAAGCAATTCTGCTTTTGATGATCCTTTTGAGAAAGTTATCCCTAGGTAAAACCAAATGTGACCCATCGCTTATGGAACATCTAACATTTGCATTATCTTTATGCAACCAAACTTCAGTTTTAGCAAAGCAGCTGGAAGAGATCATGCCTGGAGTATATCACCGTGTTGATCGTTGGAATTCATTAGCTCTTTGTTATAGTGGAGCAGGACACAACAACGAGGCTTTGAATCTATTAAGGAAGTCTTTACACAAACATGAACGACCAGATGAACTCACAGCATTGTTATTAGCCGCCAAAACCTGCAGCGAGGATTCCCATGTTGCGGCTGAGGGAGTGGGATATGCACAAAGGGCTATTAGCAGTGCTCAGGGGATGGATGAACATTTAAAGGGTGTGGGTCTTCGCTTGTTGGGTCTTTGTTTGGGGAAACAAGCAACAGTTTCTTCCTCTGACTTTGAGAGGTCCCGGCTTCAGTCTGAAGCACTGAAAGCGCTAAATGAAGCCATTGCTTTGGAGCAGAATAATTTAGATTTGATTTTTGAGTTGGGTGTTCAATATGCAGAGCATCGGAATCTAAATGCTGCTTTGCGGTATGCAAAACAGTTCATTGATCGAACAGGGGGCTCCATAATAAAAGGTTGGAGATTGCTTGCTCTTGTTTTGTCTGCTCAACAGCGATATTCAGAGGCTCACGTGGTCACTGATGCTGCTTTGGATGAGACCGCAAAATGGGAACAAGGGCCATTGCTCAGGCTTAAAGCAAAGCTGAAAATCTCTCAATCATTACCCATGGATGCAATTGAAACTTATCGTTACCTTCTTGCTTTGGTTCAAGCCCAAAGAAAATCTTTTGGGCCTCTCAGAATTAGTAATCAGGTTAAAACTCTGACTTCTGCTTTACATTCTTCACTACTCAAATTTCTGCCAAATGCAGCCCTAAGCTATTATTGGTAGCGGTGGGAAAGTGGTATTATTGTGAGTCTGCAATGTCCTGGGAGGAAGTTTAGCCCATTAATCATTTCTTTCTACAATGGTTTAATTTAATGTGATAGTAGTTTAGATTTTAGAAATTTAAGTATCTGATTGTTTTATGGAGTTGAATTTTTAAATCTTGAGGTTTGTAACTGAATGCTGGGTTAAGTTGCTTTCTCGGAAATTATTTGTTAAAGATTCTTGCTCAACATGAAAATATATACTAGTAGGAAGTCCTGATTAACAAGTTGTTCCCTTTAAGTTTATGTTGGTCTTTTCTTTTTGATAGGTTGAAGATGATAAAGTCGATGAATTTGAAGTTTGGCATGGTTTGTCAGACTTATACTCTAGCCTATCACATTGGAAGGATGCAGAAATATGTTTGAGTAAAGCCAGCGAACTAAAGCGGCACTCTGCAGAAACGCTGCACACGGAAGGCAAGTACTAAACTCATCTACTACATTAACGAATTTCTGAGGCATTTATATTGTACTTCTTGATAAGTGATATACATGACAATGCAAGTGGTGGACCTGTCGAAAATGCTGACTTTAGACAAAATGTCTTTTCAAGGGCTAGTTTTAAACAAGGGCCTATATGACCTAACAGCACTTTCAAGCTCTTCTAACACTAGGGAGCCTATCATGGCATAAAAGCCTTTTTCTTATATAGCACTGCAATTTGATACGGTATGTTTACTGTTAAGTTACTTGCTGTGCAATCATATTAGGTGTTATCTTAGAAGGACGTGGACAAATTCAAGAAGCTCTAGCAGCCTATATTGATGCTCTTCTGCTAGAACCCTACTATGTTCCGTGCAAGATTTTGATTGCTGCTCTTCTGTCAAAGATGGGCTCAGTGGCATTGCCTGTGGCAAGAAGCTTACTCTCAGATGCATTAAGGATCGATCCTAACAATCGAAAGGCTTGGTATTACTTGGGGATGATTCACAGAGATGATGGTCGAATAGCAGACGCCATCGACTGCTTCCAGGCAGCTTCCATGCTGGAAGAATCTGATCCTATTGAAAGCTTCAGCTCCATTCTCTGATGTCTCCCTCTAATAAAGGGTATACGTTTTTGTAATTTTTGGTTCTAAATATCATTTATTTTAAGCAAGGCAACCAATCTAACAAGCATTTAATTCATATAACAGGAACCTTTAAAAGAGGGATTTGGAAATTGGAGCCTGCTGAACTTCTGTGTTGGATATTTATATTCAAATTTGTAGGTCTCATTCATCTATCGGAAGGAAGGTACGAGAATCAGTTGAAAGAAAATTATGTTTTGAGCATGTTTTGAGAAAATAAGAAAGCGACGGAAATAGAAGCTAATTCAAATTTTCAGTGGAACGCAGAGAACTTGAAATATTCGGAGATTAATCTTCTTTTATTCTTTTTTAGGAGGGCAGGGTTTTAGCAATTCATTTGCTTAAATTTGTCAACTTTTGCTCAGCTGTGTAAATTTATGTGATTTGACTGAGCAACTATATGTAAATGAAAATCAAAGATCCATTTTCTAGAGTTGTATATCTTTCCATTCTCTCATTTTCTCTCTCGAGTGTAAGAGCATTCACAATGGGCTCTCCAAATCACCTCCTTAGACAAATTTTAGGGAGGAATTGAAAAAAATACAATTCTAATCATGCTCCCTATCCACCTCCAAAAATATGGAGACCTCTAAGAGCTCCTAAATCTGAGAAGAGAGAAAGGACTCCTAGTGGTTACCTATAATTTAATGTTGCTTTGTTTTATGCATAATTTAAACTTTTACTTAATGCTAACTATTTTTTTAAATATTATTTTGTATAGAGATGGACCAATTATATTGAATTAAAAAATATTTATAGTATTTATGACTCCTTAAACTAGGGAGTATGATTGGAGTTCAAATTTTATGGAGAGCTCCTAAAATAACTTTTGTGTATTTTTAATTGAACTTTAACAATAAAAGGGAGCATGATTGTAGATGCTCTAATATCACGTGATTATTATCATGTGTCCAGTTTTCTCAATATGAACACAACTCGATTAATGATACATTAAATTTTGAAAACTAGCTCAGAATTTCAAGTGTCAAAAAAAGATAGGTCCATTTGGATGTCGAGATTTGAATAAGAAAATGAAGAAAACAAATGGATTCCAAATGACTCATTGAATATAGTCATTTCAAATTCATTCCAAATGTATTACATCTAGTTATTTAAATACATTCAATATAAGGCTCCATTTGGAATTTGAAAGAAAATTTGGCAACAAGGCCAAATTTGCTACTAAAACAAAGAACAACATGAATGTATTTGAAATAACTATGTGAAATAAATTTGAAATGACTACATGCGATGAATCATTTGAAATTCATTTGTTTCCTATCTTTCTTGTCCAAATCTTGACATTTATGCATACATTAGCTTAATCAAGTTGGCTATATCGGATTTGCTCACTACTCTACACCCGAATTCGAATCTCCCTCCCCCATAGTTTAGATTAAATTAAAGTAGAATATTGTTTGTATCAACAACAACAAAAATTATCTTGGCTACACTTACCACATTTTTATCCATGATGTGGCATGTCCATATCATATGCCACATCAATTAAATGAATGAAGTGTATTTTAATAAATAAAATTAGAAAAACAAAAACTAGTATTTTACATGATGTGGCATGTACACATCAGCTACCACATCATGTGATATAAAATTGTGGTAAGACTAGTATTATTCTTTAAACAGAGCCTTTAAGTTTTTAATGAATCCAATGAGAGAATCCACCAATGCTGACATTAAATCAGTTGCAGAAAGTTTCCTTTCTAATTCTGGGTAACGGACAGACAAGCATGCATAAGATTAGAGCAGAAGAGAGAAAACCCACATTCATTTGAACATGACAAATTGTAACGGACAGACAAGCATGCATAAGATTAGAGCAGAAGAGAGAAAACCCACATTCATTTGAACATGACAAATTGTAACGTCCTGCCCACCAATTAAATACTAGATATATTGACCTCTAATATCACAATTTATTGTAATATTCCACTAGCTATTTATTAGACTAGATTCATATCATTTGGTGATTGTCCAATGATTGCGCAAATACAGATAAGCCCAAACAGATGAGGACTACAAACAGATACACCAGTGCTTGGCTGCTTCATTCAAGGGAAAACGGTGATTTTCCACGACCTTTCCCAGACAGCCGAATCAACATGGCAATATTGTTTGTCGCCCAACCCAACCTGAACATATCTTCAATACTCGCATTCATATATCTGAAGGATGGTGTGGCCTTAAAGTTATATGCGGGAGATCAAAAGCGGGATGGACATGGCCTCCTCGCCCATGACCGGCTCGAATAAATCCAACTCCCCATATCGCTCCAGAACACGCATCCTGCAGTCTTCAGCAGCCATCACTCCAGTAGAGAATGCACCATGCACAGAGCCTGGGAAGTCCGCGCTTGTTGCCTCCCCGGCAAAAAATAGGTTATCCACTGGGACCCTTAGCTTCTCGTACAAATCATGGGGTTTTCCAACCATGTCATAGCTATAGGACCCAAGCGTGTTAACATCACTGCCCCAACGAGAAACAAGATACTGAATCTGCATAATTGGAAAGGCATCAATTAAGTTAAGTTACAGCTCAAAAATAAATAAGACTCATCAAATTTCACATAAAGTCTAGTAGAAGTTAGAAACAAGGAGTACCGGGGAAGAAGCATCTGGAAGGATCTTCTTGAGTTGCATAAAAGCAAAGTTAGCAGCCTCTTCATCAGACATTTTCTCTATGTCTTTAGCCAGCTGCCCTGCAGGCATATAAACAAGTACAGAATGACCAGTTGCCTTGTGAAGATTTAGAAAGTAGCTGCAGCAATAAGATGTTTCAGCAACCACTCCCAAAAACTCCACATTTGGCCAAAACACCTTTTCGAAGTGCAACACTATTTTATTCTCAATTCCCACTCCGAGGTCAGCAATGGCTTCTTCCTTCCAGTTGGGTAGCTTTGGCTCAAACGATATGCTCTTTGCCTTAAGCACACCGAGAGGAACAGCTACAACAGCAGCATCTGCAACAAATGTACTCCCATCTTCTATTGTTACATGAACTCCATTATATTGCCTTGCTATTTTTGTGACCCTGAGAACAGGAGAAAAGTTATATGCTTGTTGATTAAGCTACAAGCAGATTGCAGAACTATATAGGAGAATATGAAAAGGAAAACTGATGCAAACCTGTGGCCCAAACGGATGTCAAGACCTTTGGCAAGTGTGTTTATAACAGGGAGGTAGCCCCTGACCATAAGGCCATGACCACCAGGGAGCAGTTCTTCCTATATAAGAGAAACAAAATTGATAATTAATGGCCATTCGAGGTTATTAACTTGTTACATGCCATACTTGAGCACAAAGATATCAATGTCTATAGTTGAACTGAAAATTCAAACAGTGTAATGTGTAATGAAAAGTAATCTGAGGGATAATAAGCTTGCCTGATCCCAGCATTTAAGTGAAATCGTATCAGCATCTGCTGCAAACCAACCTTCCATTCTGCACAAGTACCACTGCAGAACCTTATGTGCAACTCCTTCCAACCTGTACGACACATATGAAAGTAATTTTGGTAAACTATTTATACACCAACAGAGTGTCAAAAGCTTAAAAAATAAAAATAAATGCGGCTTGGAATTATGGTACCTTAATTCCGGGTTCCTTTCAAAAACAATTGAAAAGGCACGAGTGATGGACATGTCTTCGCTAAATTCCTCTCTTACCTTATCTGTCTGCACTACGAAAACAAAAAATGATGTCAAAGAATGTCCACAATGGCAAGCCATTATTTGAGGGTTAAGATAGAAGTGAAACCTTTCGTCTCACAAGGCTATAGCCTTAAAAAAAAAAAAAAAAAAAACATAAGATGACTTGCCTCTTTCAAAAGGTTCTCAAACACTTCACCAACTTTGGTGACCAAATCTTGAGGAACTTGCTTCCCATCCATATCAAAAAGTGCATAGCTGCAAAGACAATATGAATTTACAACCAATGTCAGTTATCACCCTACAATATAAAGGCTCGGACAAAAAGTCAACTTCACAGAAAGATGAAGCAATGTGTTAAAATCATTTGTATCAAAGCACATTCTTGAATGTATTGACCATAAATAAAATATATTACATGGTAGACTGTTGTGCTTTAAACTGTTAAAAGCAAATCTTGGCACCATACTAGAAGGTTGGAAAAATAAAACAACTTATACGAGTACGAACCATTCAATTCAAAACAACCAACAAAAACCAAGCCACACTAAAACCATAACAATGCATATCGACAACCCAAACTTAAATGACATTTAAAATTCACAGCATTTCCTACAACAAGGGAACTATTAGTTGAAGGAAGATATTATGTACCTCTCCAAGTCATGGTCATATAAGACAGAGTTATCCCCACTCGTACGGTATAAGGGTAACCCCAATCTCCCAATCAATGGTGCCAATGGATTCTCTTTGCATACTCCGTGCAACCTGAAGCATAAACAAAGATCAAGGATTTAGGCTTCAATTGCCAAATACAAGCAACTCAAATTCCAAACACAGGAAGCAAGTCACATTCTCAGCTTACCATGATGCACCCAAGTCAATAGGGAAACCAAATGAGTAATCGGTGTAAACTCGACCACCCAGTCTGTCCCGAGACTCCAACAGCATAACCTGACCATCAAAATTCAAAAAATTTAAAAACCCTAATTGCACACTTCAATGTAGAAAGCATTGAGTTGGAATTTCAATGTGGGTAGGGTACCTGAATTGAGGCATCGTGAAGAGCACGAGCAGCCGAAACTCCGGCCATACCACCACCTATCACTATTACAGATGGGGACGTCGTCGTTCCGCCTGACGTCTGCTTCTTGTCTCCATTTGAATAGCACACGGCTGCATTTGTACAAATTATGAAATAAAAATATTCAATCCAAAATTTAAAAAATTATTTTACAAATTACACAGAGCAGTAAAACCGTTAAAAAAAACTTTCAAACCCAAAAAAGAAAGAGATTGGAAGAGAAAAGAATGGAAAATGTGAATGGACCTCTGCGCAATTGGGGATTACTCTTGGCTCCAGACGCCATAGTGATTCAAAGAGGAATTGATATTACGATTAAAATTTGGATTAAAATTAAGATTGGATAATGATAATAATGGATCGAGGGCTTTCTTCTCGAATTTAAGCAGAGTAAGAGGCAATTGAGGGGAATAATGGAGGATGAAGATTAAGAGACACGTAATGAAGTGATTAGAATTGGAATTCAATTTCCTCTTTGTGAAACCCAGCTTTCCCAACCAGCTCATGCGCCTTTCTTGTGCCTGACGATTCGAAATTCACTCTCGTTTCTTTGTATTCAAACAGCCGCGATCGGATTTCAATTCCCTCCGGTGAAAGCACGCACCAGAATCGCCGGAATTCGCAGCGGCTCTGGAGAGATCGGGGAATCGAAACGCGGGATTTGGCTGCGTTTTGGATGCACAAGAATTTAGGGATTTGGTGAGTATTTGGTTTGGAAATGGAAACAGAGTTTCATAGAAATAGGAGAGTCGAAATTTGATTTCCACCGTCTAGGTTGCCCTGCCTTTATATAGACAGCTACGCTGTGACAGCCAAATGGCGAAGAAGATGAAACGAAACGATTTTGTACTCGCCAAGATCGCTTTATCCTGTACTCGCTGGAATAATGTGCCACGTGTAAGGGATATTTTGGAAATTTACCGGGACTGTGATTCCAATTTTGGCGCAAACACTGGGATTTGCAAAGTAGGGGCATTTTCGGTTTTGTGTATTGATTGGTGTACCGTGTACGGTCTTTCAGCCTTTAATATTGATACGAAATTATTGAAAATTTTGTTTCCTATTCTTCATTTCCCTTTTTAACGTTCAAGTAAATTTGCTATACAGCATGGAATTAAAATTCGTACCTAATTAGGGTAGTGGCAAATTCAGAAATTTATTTTCTTCTTTTTTTTTCACTCTTTTTTTTTTTTTTTTTTTTTTTAAATGCGAGAATATACATACAATCATATATTTATTTACCGTAGTTTTTTTAAGATCCAACATGACCTAGAAACACACGTCATGATGCTAAACAAAGATCCAAGTCTTGTAACTGTAAATTTGTGGTTTTATACGACGCACTTGCGTTACATATTTGTTTTGGATTACGTGAAGTTTTCATGGCCATGTCGTCGAGAAATAAATAAGAAACTAGAAAATGCAGCATGCCAAAGACGAACTTGATGATGACTGCTTTGCTAGGATGCTGATTTGGCGATGTCCATGTTCTCAATATTTTATTTTTCCAGTTTTAATTGAATAAAGAAAGTGATTGTTTTCTATAAACATGCTTAATAGTCACCGAACTCCTTATTTATTCATTTCTAAAAAGCGATCCTTTTATTATATTAAAATACAGGTATATTGTCTAAAATTGTATAAATTGATGACCTAATACGTTGTAGAAGTATGTTATATGAGCTGTTTATTACTGTTTACTGAAATGGGTAATGTTGACTAACTTTGGGTTGTTTTTAATTTTTTTTAATCTTGGCGTGTCAAATATTAAACTTAATTTTGACAATTTCCTTGTAGACAGTTTTTCCAGATATACGTTGGCATTTTCAAATTTTCATTTAATTCCATTTAATTCTTAATTTGGTCAGACCCATTCTTCTACCGTTCATATCAATAGCATTAATTAGGGGTGGTGAATTAGATATCGAGTTGTTTTGAGAATAGGGAAGCCAAGCACTGGCAGGCAAGGCGGCCGCGTAAGCCCTCAAATTGGAAGGGCCCCAAATTTGTATAAGTATTATTAAGGCCCAAGTATTGTAATTATAAATATTTAAAAAAAAGACCAATTATTGTAAATAAATAAATAAATAAATTGTGCAATTATTCAATTCAAAATTAAAAAGAGAAAACTCAATAAAGGCCCAATTTTTTTTAAAATTTCTAGCTTAAGTCAATTAACGGAGAATAAATTAGGAAATATTGGGTTCTATTTTTTGAGGACAATTCCTATTGAGAGGTGCAATAGTATACTAAAATGACACACACTCCACGGATATTAGGACTCGAAGCATTCCTACGGGGGAGCAATTTTGTTAAGTTAAAAAATAGATTTGAACAATTTCACACATACGAATAAAATTTTGAATTTTTATTCAATTCGGAGAAGTTAAAGACTGCAAATGATGACAGCTTGAAGAGATATATTGTAGGAATCTTGAAGGTTTGATGAAACGTAATGATATTTCTATTATTAATGGGAATGATTTGTTTCCCGAAATTACGAATCATGAGAGAAACTTTACCATAAGATACAAAAAGGACAATTCAAGTGTTGAATTATTTGAAGGACTTATATGGTTGTTTCCCAAATGCATGGATTGCTTTCATAATTTTGTACCAGTCACGGTTGCCTCTGCAAAAAGAACCTCTTCAAAGTTGAAATTGATTAAACTATGTCACAAGAAAGTTAATTGATACTTTTGCAAATTGTTTGTTTTTTTTATGTTACAAATCGTGAATTTGAATTCATATAATATTTTTTTAACTTACGGAAAAAATATATCACACAAACATACATAGAGGATAAAAGGCCATGTTAAATTTCATCAATTTGTTATTTTCCAAATTTCATATTCAACACCGCACAAATAGAGTTGCTTATCGCATTGCGCAGTTTGCTCTTCATATTGATAACTCTTGCACTCGATTTGAAAAACCACTCACATGATATATTCAAGATAACTCAGTCTCAATCTCATTTATCTATAATATACCGAACGAGTGGTAAGTAGAGAGATAATTTACAAAGAGGACCCTAAAATTATAGGTGGAACCTAATTATCTATATTATATACAAACACACCACATGACCCAAGTTCCAACCAATATCGGGCATCTGCAATACATTATGCATACACAATTCTCTGGTCAATTCATCTCATTCAATCCTCATCTTGACCTTTTGGTGCTAATTTACAAATATCTTTTTTTTTTCTTTTTTTTGTATGTTTGATCTTTTTTTTCTTTCTCACATGCTATTTAAAAGGGAAATTCTAAGGAAAAAAAACTTATTTGTAATGGAAATAGCACTGTTTTGTTATCCTCGGTCAATATCAGTATGACACATAACAAAGTGCTATTTAAAAGGGAAATTCTAAGGAATAAAAACTTATTTGTAATGGAAATAGCACTGTTTTGTTATCCTCGGTCAATATCAGTATGACACGTAACAAAGTTATCCCATATGATATTGTATTATTGATCGAGAATAGTCAAAAATGAAATCCCGTTGCGTGTGACCCTGACAAGATTAACGGAGAATAAATTAGGAAATATTGGGTTCTATTTTTTGAGGACAATTCCTATTGAGAGGTGCAATAGTATACTAAAATGACACACACTCCACGGATATTAGGACTCGAAGCATTCCTACGGGGGAGCAATTTTGTTAAGTTAAAAAATAGATTTGAACAATTTCACACATACGAATAAAATTTTGAATTTTTATTCAATTCGGAGAAGTTAAAGACTGCAAATGATGACAGCTTGAAGAGATATATTGTAGGAATCTTGAAGGTTTGATGAAACGTAATGATATTTCTATTATTAATGGGAATGATTTGTTTCCCGAAATTACGAATCATGAGAGAAACTTTACCATAAGATACAAAAAGGACAATTCAAGTGTTGAATTATTTGAAGGACTTATATGGTTGTTTCCCAAATGCATGGATTGCTTTCATAATTTTGTACCAGTCACGGTTGCCTCTGCAAAAAGAACCTCTTCAAAGTTGAAATTGATTAAACTATGTCACAAGAAAGTTAATTGATACTTTTGCAAATTGTTTGTTTTTTTTATGTTACAAATCGTGAATTTGAATTCATATAATATTTTTTTAACTTACGGAAAAAATATATCACACAAACATACATAGAGGATAAAAGGCCATGTTAAATTTCATCAATTTGTTATTTTCCAAATTTCATATTCAACACCGCACAAATAGAGTTGCTTATCGCATTGCGCAGTTTGCTCTTCATATTGATAACTCTTGCACTCGATTTGAAAAACCACTCACATGATATATTCAAGATAACTCAGTCTCAATCTCATTTATCTATAATATACCGAACGAGTGGTAAGTAGAGAGATAATTTACAAAGAGGACCCTAAAATTATAGGTGGAACCTAATTATCTATATTATATACAAACACACCACATGACCCAAGTTCCAACCAATATCGGGCATCTGCAATACATTATGCATACACAATTCTCTGGTCAATTCATCTCATTCAATCCTCATCTTGACCTTTTGGTGCTAATTTACAAATATCTTTTTTTTTTCTTTTTTTTGTATGTTTGATCTTTTTTTTCTTTCTCACATGCTATTTAAAAGGGAAATTCTAAGGAAAAAAAACTTATTTGTAATGGAAATAGCACTGTTTTGTTATCCTCGGTCAATATCAGTATGACACATAACAAAGTTATCCCATATGATATTGTATTATTGATCGAGAATAGTCAAAAATGAAATCCCGTTGCGTGTGACCCTGACAAGTGTCTTAATAAAAACACCAACTATGATGAATACTTGAAGTTGAAGACGCATATTTTCAACACTAGTACATATTATCATCTCTCGAAACGAAAGGTTGCAAATCTTGTGCACTTAAAAATCATATAATTAATTAGATGAAAGTCAGTCTAGCTACTCAAATAGGAATAGAATAGTGCACCTATCTCCATTCTCCACCGTTTGCCATTTTAGCTAGCCCTTATTATATATTTAAATTCATTGTCATGTCATGCATTGTGTCATGCATCAAACATATTTCTTGTGAAACTGTGTATCATGCGGGGCACTAATCAACTAAATCACAAATATTTAAATTGGTGTAAGTGGACATTTAGATCTCATGAAAATAACGTTTACAATGGAAGTAGTCCTTCTTTTTTCCTAAAGATAATCTAGCCAATAATTTATAATTATAGTGTTACACATAGGACTTCCATTGCCATACTTAACAGATTTACTACAATTTACATGTGTCAAGATTTGAATAAGAAGAAAATAAAGGAAACAAATGAATTTCAGATGACTCATTGGCACATTGTATATAGTCCTTTCAAATGGAGCTAGTCAATACCAAAATGATAAAAGGGGAAGTCAAAGCTTGAAAATGAATAATACGAGAGGAACCAAATTTTTACATCACATTGATCATATGGCGTGGTAATAATCGATACTTACATGTCATATATAGATATATATATATATATATATATATATATATATAGTTTCCTTTTATTGAGAGATCTTCCAAATTATTTTATTTGGGGGACACACTTTAGGGTACCATACAAATATTTTTTCAACGATCCAAACTATCTATTTTTTAAGTCTACATTCATAGATTATCCTTGCAAAAAATTAGATAATTGGAAATTATTTCGGTATCCAAATGTGTCTTACAAAATCATTGAACACGGTGCTTCAAGAAAATACTAAAATTTCAATAATTCAATTGAATGGTCAAATGATATCGGATTCAAATGATTTTTTGTAGAGATGA